AGAGTGCCGTCTACCTTAGACCAAACTCACAAGCCCCGGCTCCGCTTCAGCCCCTGGGACCGCCCACTCGTCTGGCCACGCCTCCTCCAGCTACAACCCACCTATCAAAACCAAAAGAACCTCCCACGTGGGTCCGCTTGGCTCCTCCCACCTATTTTTTGCTGGAGTCACCTATCAAAGCAGGACCAACCTCTTCTGGCTCCTCCCACCTCTGTAGTCCCGCCCTCTCCTGCTACAACTCACCAATCAGGGAGGGAAGAAGTTCACCTGACTCAGTTCAGTCTGGCTCCTCACTAGTAAATCCCCACTCGCGACTTGTCCAGGCCAAACCCACTAATCGAAATAGAACACTCTCCTGGCCCCACCTCCCTCTCCCAGCTCCTCCTACCTGTAAGGGAAGAATTATTTCAGTTGGCCCAGCCTTGCCTGGCTTGCTCATTCCGGACAGAAACCCCTTCTCCTAGCCCTGCCAGTGGACTACACACACTCAAAAGGACAAGACCACCTCCTGGAGGGACTGTACCCTCACTAATCCATGTCTACTGGCCCCGCCCACCTGCCCAAGACACTACCCAACGCTCTTCTCCCAGCCCAGGCACCTGGCACTGTCCCGCCCGTGCTCCCCCACCCCCCAACCTCGTCCTCTCGTTTCTGCTCTTTACTCGGTGGCCCCCACACTTCTTTCTCCTGTCCACAGTTGTGGCCCGGCCCTCCCATCTTAGCCCTGCCCACTGTTCAAACCCGGGAGTGTTCCCCTGTGCCTGCTGGTATAGCCCCGCCTCCGCACTCGGCCCCACCCACCTCTCCTGGCCCTCCTTAGCCGAGGGTCTCCGGTTCCTCCGAGCCATTTTGGCCTTGTAGCTGCTGCGCCTGGCAGGGCCGATGCGAATGGAGGTATTTTCGAAGGGTGTTGTGGTCACTGCCACCTTGTTGCCACTCTGGGGGAAGAAGGGAGGCAAATGTTCAGGCAGCTCCAGCTCCCAGGACCCCCGCTCCCCTCTCCCCAGAGCGCTACCTCCCTGGCACTCACCTTAAGGATCAGCTCCACGACCTCAGGATGCACCATGCCATGCACAGGCTCCCCGTTCACGTGGGTGATGAGGTCCCCCGCACAGAGCCCTGCCTCCTGGGCCGGGCCCCCCTCTTCCACGTGCTGGGGACAGGGCGCCACACACACACGGTGCAGGGTTAACAGGATCAGTAACCAGGAAGCTCCCTAAGCTGATGTTCCCCACACCTAGCTCTGCATTTACTTGAATCGTTGTAACACCTTATGAAATAGTAATTACTCTTCCCAGTTTACAACCGAAGAAACTGGAGCTCAGATGGGGAAGGGCACTGATAGGAGTCTCAGCCAGGCGGCCGGGATCCGGAGAGTGAACTGTCCCTCATTTCTGGGGGTTAAAGGGGAGCCTCTCTCCCCCACCCCCCATCTTGGAACACAGACCCCACCCATGAGTGCTCACCCAGACAATGTGATGGACACTGTAGACGTCTGAGTCACCCATGTAGACGCGGATGGCTCGCAGTGTGAAGCCGTACTTCTTGCCAGAGCGTTGGATGGTGATAGGGGAGCGGAGCCCACTGACAGCCGGTGAGTAGTCCCGGCTGGGTGAGGAGTCCCTCGAGGACGGGTTGGAGGAGAGAGATCGTGGAGACATGGGGCTGGCCAGGGGTGAGCTTCCATGAGGGTCCACTGCAGACACAGAACCATGGTCAGAGGTCACGGCCAGCGATCACAGCTCTCCCAGTATCTGCTCCTCCCACCTCCTTAGTCAACGTCCCAGAGCTCTCATTGGTCCACCCCAGTGCCAATCACTATGCACAGGAAAAATGCAGCGTCTTCATTGGTCTGTCCTGGCACAAATGGGGGCAGGCCCTCCCTCCCAGGTGGGGCCCAGCATCACCTGCAGGAATCATGACAGACAAGGCCGTGGCAGAGGCTGACTTGATGACTTTGCCCCCGGTTCGAGAAGGCCGCTTCTCTACTGCTGGGTCCCCTGACAGCTGCTGATGCCGAGCCCGGCGCAGAACCAGGTCATTGGTGGCCCTCGGGCCTGATGGGTCCCCATCCTTGGAAGGTGGGCAGAGGTCACCTGGGCGTGGTTGGTCCGCTGCAACAGAGCAGGTGGGTGAGGAGGCAGTCCGAGGTCAGGGCCTCTGGCCTGTGTTCACTCTGCCTGGAATGCTTTTCCCACGTCTCACCCTTGTTGGAATGTCAGTTTCCTGGGAGCAGGTGACATGCACCCGGCACAACCCCTGGTAAACAGAAGTGCTCAAATGCGTTGTTGACTGGGAGCATGGAATGTGGGGTGTACCTCAGGCTGATGAGCACCCAGACCGGAAACAGTACCAGGCTTAGCGAATGCTCAATATATGGCCGCGGGGGAGCTGGGGAAGGCGGCAGGAGGGGGCACTCACTGGCTTCGGAGTCCCCGCCACTGGCAGGGCCATCCCCTTGAGCTGCCTCCTTGGGGACCCGTGCGTCCAGCGAGCCTGGGGGGTCAGAGGTGGGCCTGGCAGACCTGCGCAGCTGGGTCTCATCCTCATCCTCTTGGGGGGCGCTGAAGCGGCTGGGCTCCAGCAGCGCCGAGAACCGGCGGCGCGCACCCAAGGGCGGACTGGCCTCCCCCTCCAGGAAGCTGGCCTCGGATGCCGAGAAGCGTTTGCTGCTGAAAGGGGGGCGTCGTCAGAGGCGACACGCCTCTTCACTCCCGCTCCCCAAACCTAGCCCTGCCCCTGCTCACATCTCTGGGGAGCCCCCTCTCCAGGTCTTCTCGCGCAGGGTCAGGCTACCCAGGCCCTCCCGCTTGCCGGCCACCTTCTCCTCTAGACCCTTGGCACTCGGCTCCCGCTTGCTGGCCCCCGCTGCCGCCACCGGGGTCTTGGGCTCATGCTGCGACAGCTGCTCCATACTGCTATACACCTGCAAGGGAGGGCGAGCGGTGGTGAGGGGCAGGCTCCCGAACCAATGGGCTTCCTGCTACTGGACACGCTCCGCCCTCCCAAGGCTGGGCCCCGCCCATCTCTGAATTGTCGCCCAACCACATACAAGACTGCAGCTCAGATCCCACCACACATATTTAAGCCCTTAGCCAGTGGTTCTCAACCTTCCTAATGCCCCGACCCTTTAATACAGGTCCTCATGTTGTGGTGACCCCCAACCATAAAATTATTTTTGTTGCTACTTCATAACTGTAATTTGGCTACTGTTATGAATCGTAATGTAAATATCTGATATGCTATATGTGTTTTCCGATGGTCACGACCCACAGGTTGAGAACCGCTGCCTTAGACCCTGCCCATAATCTTTTAAAAAAACATGTTTTTATTGATTTCAGAGAGGAAGGGAAAGTGGTAGAGAGATAGAAACATCAATGATGAGAAAGAATCACCGATTGGCCACCTCCTGCACGCTCCCCGGAAGGGGTGGGGGGGGATCGAGCCCACAACCCAGGCATGTGCCCTTGGCCGGAATCGAACTTGGGACTCTATCCACCGAGCCAAACCGGTAGGGCAACCCTATCCATATCTTAACGAATTTGCCCTCCTTCCTGCCCCACCTTCCCAGTTCCCAGCCAATCATAGGTACCCCAAGCTGGGCTCTACACACCACTACACGCGGCTCCTCAAGGCGAGACCTCCTGCACCTTTGCCCCGCCCCCACTGCTCATCCTCTCCACCCCAAGGTCCAGACACCGTCTCATCTAGACCTAGCTCCGCCCCACTGTGAGTCCTCAGTACCACCGCCGTCCAGATTCCTGTTAGATTCCACCCAAGGCCAAAGGCCCTCCCATGCACTCCCAGGCCCTATCACTCTCAGAATCCCGCAGGCTCAGTAACTTCCCCAGCAGGGGACCTCCGGCCTACCAGGATTCCCCCAACTTCCGCAACCCCGCCCACTCAGGCCCACCTCCAATTCCGTCCTCATCCTGCTAGGAGAAAAAGATACCTGCCCTCTCCGCCCCGCCCAAGCCCCGCCTCCCGATCTCGCCCCACCCCCCCGGGTCTGGCCCCACCCCTAACCCAGCTGGCTCACCTTGCTGAAGCGCGGGGAGCAGGAGGAAAACTGGCGGATTTCCACAGGCTCCTCCTCCGTCGTGTCATCCTCATCGTAGGAGTTCACGTGGTGATACCTATCTGAGCGGGCTGGGAATGGGGGGTGGACCGTGACCACCCCTCAGGGCTGCAGGCGCCGCCATGGCCCCGTCCCAATCTAGAATCTGATTCTGGCCCTGCTTCCAGGCTGGGTTTCTGCCCAACTCTCAGAGGCTCCATTAGCCCAGCGTCCTGAGGCCACACCCGCAGGCCCCATCTATGGCCGAGCCCCCCTCCCCTCCAGCCAGCCCCTGCCCTGCCTCCAGGTCCTAGCACTGCCCAGTAGCCCAGGCCCAACTCCAGAACTCACTGCCGTCCAGGCCCCACCCTCCTTTCCTACCAACTGCTCAGACTGAGCCTCACCCCTGTGCCAGGCCATCCCTCTCCTCGGTCTGGGCGGCTGGTCTCCTACCCAGCTGGGCTCCAGCCCAGGCCTTGCCCAATGGTCCCTCTCACCAGCTCCCACCCCCTCTCCCAGCTCACTGTCGAAGTAGCTGGTGTCATCCTCGGACTCCAGGTGGGGGATGAACTCTGCCTTCTGCCTCAGCAGTCCTGTCCAGTCCAGGTCTCGAAAGAAACTGTGCTGCTTCACCTCAAAGGCACCCCCTGGAAAGGAAGGAGTGGATGGGGTCCGGGAGAGAATCCCTCCAACAGCTTAGGGCCAGCTCCAGAGCCCAGCCCCCCCCCCCCCCCGTCTTCTACCCCAGGGCTACAGCACTTGGAGCCCAGCCCTTAGCTTCTCAGTACAGCAGACCCCTCACCTGCCCCAAGCCGGACCAGGGGGTTGGTCTGCAGGAGGCTGGATATCAGGAGCTGGGCGTCGGTGGGCAGGGCTTCATCTCCCTCGGGCCACAGGATGTCATCTGCAGAGCAAGGTGGGGGGGGGGTCACTTTCGGGTCCAAAAGGCCCTGGGTCTGCCCATGTCCCCATGCCCCCCACCTGCCACCAAGGAGGCACGCACCGCTGATGACCTGTCCAAACAGCTCTTCGGGCGTGTCTCCGAAGAAGGGCACACAGCCCACCAGGAACTCGTAGAGGATGATGCCCATGGCCCACCAGTCCACCGGTTTGCCATAGCCCTGGCGCAGGATGACCTCGGGCGCGATGTACTCTGGGGTTCCGCACACCTAGGGGCAGGCGGTCAGCCTGCACTCTGGCCACAGGAGGGGCCTCGAAGGGGAGCAGCACTCCCCACCCCACCCTGAGCCCCGAAGCCCTGCTGGCTCCTCCCCGCCACAGTGACCCCCGCAGCCACACACACACCTGTTTGTCCAGGAACTCCCGGGCATCCTTCTCGATGTGGCCTTCATACAGGTTGGTGGTGAGGCTCATGAGCCCCATTTTGGAGAGGCCAAAATCCGTGAGTTTGATGTGGCCCATGGAGGTGATGAGGAGGCTGCAAACACAAGCAGAGGTCTCAGAGGTGAGGCTTGCCCACCTCCCTCCCTGACCCTTCCATGCCAGCGCCTACAGAGGGGCAGGGGGGCGGGGGTGACGGGGAAAGTCAAGGCTCACTTGTCAGGCTTGAGGTCTCGGTGCACAATGCCGTAGTTGTGTAAATACTCAAGTGCCAGCACCGTCTCGGCAAAGTACATGCGGGCCATCTCCACGGGCAGCGCCCCGATGTTCTTCAGCAGGGTGGCACAGTCCCCGCCTGTGTGCGAAGGAGGCCCATGTAAAGAGGGAAGCACCCCTGCCCCAGGGTTGTGCGCTCCACATGCATGACAGCACCAAGTCCCCAACTCACATTACCCCTATTTTGCAGCGAAGGAAAACTGACGTACTGACAGGGGCCTCATTCTCCCGGGCCCCACAGGGAGTGCCCTCTACCAGGCTCCTCCTGTCTTCTTTATAAATGTTTAATCTATTTTTAAATCTTCACCTGAGGACAGGTTCACTGACCTTTTCAGAGGGAGGGAGGGAGGGAGGGAAACATGGATGGGGTTGGCTGTCTGGAGCATCCCACACTGAGGCTGGGAATGAACCTGTAATGCAGACTATGTGCCCTGACTGGGAATCAGATCCGCAACCTTTCAGTGCACGGGACGAGGCTCCAACCAACCGGAGCCACACCAGCCAGGGCTCCTCCTGTCCCCTTAACCATCTTCCAAAGTTGGCTTGATCTGAGACTCAGAGGTTGGATCATGGAGGGAGTAGGTGGAAATGAGGTTTGGTGGGTACCAACTGCTGCCTGGGTATCAACTGAGTCTGGGAACACCGCCCTTGATCTCCTGGAGTTTGAATCTTGAATGTCTTGTGCCTTAACATGTAGAGTCCTGGTTCCCACCAGATTTACTGTGATCGGCATTCATATGTTAGGCTCCCCCAATAGGCGTTCCTCCTTTTTCTCACAAGGACCAGATTTCTTTCCCAGTGCAGCAGCGAACCCAAGTTGCTCAGCCCTCCAACTTTCCATTCTCCCCAAAGATTGCTAAACTAGCAGGGATCTGCTGGATGGCATCTCACCCTATCAAGGCCTGTCTAAAGGGAAGACCACACATGGGAGAGCAGAGCCAAGCAATGGAGAGATTCCTGATGACATGGTTTGAGCATCTGGATACAGTCATTTCTGAAGGCAACATGGATGTTTTGCTCACAAATCACTAAATGTCCTTTTTTTTTTTAGCCAGGAAACTGATGATCAGACCTAGGAATCTGCATCTGGCCCCAACCCCAGGTAATACTGACACACACTTACACTGAGGACAGAGCTGGGTTGACTTGCAAATGAGACTTGGAGGCTGGGCCTTGTTCAGGAGGCCCGAGAATGCACACTTCCTGTGTACTCAACCCATCAAAGACCCCGATTCCACCCCCTTCTCTCCTCTGCATGACCTCAGACCCATGCAGTTCCCTCCATCTTGGTCTCCCTTTTCTCTCCTCCACACAGCAGCTAAATAAATAGCATTAAAACGTAAGTCAGACCATGTCAACTTTGCTTAAAACCCTCCAGTGGCTGTGTGTTGCATTTGGCATGAAACCCAATGCAGTCCAGGCCCTGCAAGGCCCTGCATGCTTAATCCCTTACCTCTCCATCCTTATCTACCCCCACCCTCCCTCTCACTTGCTCCAGCTCCATTGCTGCTCCTCAAAACAGCGATTTTCAACCTTCTTCATCTCATGGCACACATAAACTAATAACTAAAATTCTTCAGCACACCAAAAATGTCTATTTTTGCCAATCTGACAAATACAAATAGGTATAATTTTGATTCATCCACACCAAACAGCCATTGTTGTTCTGGCTGTTGTCATTTTTTTAATTTGACAATCTAACAAACAAAAAAAAGAGGTCAGTGCTACTAAGTCAGGTATTGCATGTTTTAAAAATTCTTGTGGCACCAGCTGAAAATTGCTACCTCAAAACCCAGATGCCTTCTCACCTAACAGACTTTGTGCTCGTCCAGGAAGAGTGGAGGCCTCAGAGAGGCCCCTGCCCACCTATGTCCCTATGGCCTCCTTAAGCCTTAAGGTCCTCATGACTGTCCTCACTCTGTGAAATAACCTTATTGCCTTTGCTTGTTTTGTTTATTGTCTGTCTACCCAGAATATAATCTCCATGAGAGGGGAGTGTGCCTGTCTGGCCCCCACTGTGCCACCAGCACCTAGCACAGCACGTGGCATAAGGGAGACAATGAGGGGACATCTGCTGAATGAATGGATGGCTGAGGTTTAGGAGTGGCATAACTGTAGCCCCAGAAGATCATGTGTGTATCCTAATAAGCATAGTATGTGTGGGTTTGGGCAATGATATAATAGTATTTGGATAACTATAAGCATGAGTGGTTGGATAAACATGAAAAATATATACATTAGTGGTTGGATGAATGGTTAGATGGCCGGATAAACTGATGGATAAATGGTGGATGAATGGTAGATGAATGTGTGGATAGAGATAGCTAGATGAGATGGCTGCTAGAATGAAGATTTGGGTGAATAATAAAAATACAGATAGTAAATGGAAGGATGGATGGATGGATGGTGGATTAATAAATAGATAAATAGGTTTTGGTAGATGGATGGATGGTGTATAAGTGGGTGAATAAATTGATGAATGAATAAATGGCCAGACATATAAAAAGATGGATGAATGAAAAATAGCCGAACTGGTTTGGCTCAGTGGATAAAGCATCAGCCTGCGGACTGAAGGGTCCCAGGTTCGATTCTGGGAAAGGGCATGTACCCTGGTTGCGGGCACATCCCCGTGGGGGGCGTGCAGGAGGCAGCTGATCAATTTCTCTCATTGATGTTTCTAATTCTCTATCCATCTCCCTTCTTCTCTGTAAAAAATCAATAAAATATATTTTAAAAAAAGATGGATGAATGAAAAATAGATGTGCAACACAGAGTGGACCTAATATATAACTATGGACTTCAGTTAATAATGTATCAATATTGGTTCATAAATTATAACAAATGTACTTCATGAATGCAAGATGTCAATAATAGGGAGACTGGAGGAAAGGGGTATGTGGGAATTCAATGTGCTTTCTAATTACTTAGTCTGGAAGCCTAAAACTGCTGTAAAAAAATGAAGTCTATTAATTTTTTTAAAAAATAGATGTATAATGGCTCTAGCCAGTTTGGTTCAGTGGGTAGAGCATCAGCCTGAGGACTGAAGGGTCCAGGGTTTGATTTGGGTCAAGGGCACGTGTCTCATATCTCAGTTGAAGGCTCCTCCCTGGCCTACGACCTGGTCAGTTCACGTGCAGGAGGCAACCAACCGATGTGTTTCTCTCACATCAGTATCTCTCTGTCTTCCCTTCTCTCTTCCACTCTCTCTAAAAAAACAATGGAAAGGGAGAAACCAAGATGGCAGCATAGGTAAACACTGGAAATTGCTGCCTCCCACAACAAATTCAAAAATACAACTAAAAGACAAAACGGAGGCCAGACCCCACGGTGCACGAATTCATGCACCAGGCCTCTAGTGCACTATAAGTTTAGTGGCTGCACGCAGAAATTGGTGAGAGCATGGGCTTCTGAGGCCTAGAACCCTAAGGGATGAAAGCCTGTGGTTTCCACAGAAGCACCGCCACACCAACTTCTGATTTTACTGCATATGATTATGCCTGGAAAAGCAAAGTTCCAGAACTGCAGAAAACTTTCCGGAAATCTACGGTGTGCCCATCCACCTAGAACGATGCCTGCCTGACCAAATGTTCACCAGATCACCATGGCAGGACAGTGGGAGGCCTCATCTCCCTCTTCACAGCCCAGAAACAAATGAGTTAGGCTGCAAAGAACTGGTTTCCTTTTGGGCATAAAACCTTTGCATTTTTATGGTTTCTGTAAAAAAAAACTTTTTTACTTGAATGGTTTACTTAACATTTTGCAAGAAAAAAATAAAGATAATAAGACAGTATTTTGGTTTGTTTATGACAAGCACCTGGCCCGAAAGAGCCATTGGACAGTTAAAACTAATGTTCAAAGACATGCTGCAGTTCTCCGAGTTCATGCAGCTGATTTCCCTGGAGGCTGCATATAAGCTTATCTATTTATTTTTTTTATTTTTTGTTAATCCTCACCTGAGGGGTTTTTTCCATTGATTTTTAGAGAGAGTGGAAGGAAGGGGGAGAGACAGAGAGAGAGAAATATCGACTGGTTGCCACCTGCATGCATCCCGACCCGGGGCGGGGATCAAACCTGCAACGAAGGTACGTGCCCTTGACCAGAATCGAACCTGGGACCCTTCAGTCCACAGGCCAATGCTCTATCCACTGAGCCAAACTGGCTAGGGCCGCATGTGGGCTTATTGATAGCAGTTTGTGCTGAGGTCCTTGGGGACTCGTGGTGGCGTTTCTGAGCATGGGGTGCAGAAGTCTTTCTGGATTTGCATGTGTCTGAGGAAGGAAGACGAAAGCCAAGGCCAGGTGCACGAGACAAGGGGTTTGAGTTTGTAGTTACCTTGGGGAGCTTTCCATCTTGCAGTAAAATGTTCAGAGAAATTACTGGCAGCATGCCTCTATTCATTGGATAGTTTGTTTTAAAGGGATATTGCCTCACCTCAGATCTTTAGTGAAATTTTATGTGTAATTATTATGTATTTATTCCACATGGGAACAGAACACCTGTTTCATGTTGCATGTTAGACTAATGTCTTCTTTTTTATTAATGCAGCTGTGATACAAAATCTCCTTTACCGTTTAAAAATGTTACGACTTTTAAGTTATGATTTTGGTTGTGGAATAAATACATGAATGAATGACATTTATAAAACATATCAACCCAATATACATTCTTCTCAAGTACACATGGATCATTCACAAAGACTGACCACATGTTAGGAAAAAATACAAGTCTCTACAAAGATTGAAATCATATCAAGCATCTTCTCAGTGGAATGAAATTAGAAATCAATTACAGTAAAAACCCCCCAAAATATTCAA